CTTTCTCTTCACCTCCCCCTTCCCCTTCCCCTTCCCCCTCCCCCAACCCTCTCCCCTTTCCCTTCCCCTCTCCCCTTCCCCCCTTCCCCTTCTCCTTCCCTCTCCCCCACCCCTCTCCCCTTTCCCTTCCCCTCTCCCCTCCCCCCTCTCTCCTCCCCCTCCCCTCTCTCCTCCCCCACCCCTCTCCCCTCTCCCTTCCTCCACCCCCTCTCCCCTCTCCCCTCTTCTTTCCCTCCCCCCTCTCCCCTCCTCTTCCCTCTCCCTCCCTCCTCCCTCCCCTCTCCCCTCCCCTCCCCCTCCCCTTCCCTTCCCCCCTCTCCCCTCCTCTTCCCCTTCCCCTCTCCCCTCTCCCCTCCCCACCCACCTGTGCCTCCGGGCGGAGCAGGAGCGAGTGCAAGGCCCCCACGAAGCGTCCTCGTCGTAGAGCAGAGAGGCCAGCGTGATGTCACTCGGGTCGTAGTTCTCGTCCTCCACGACAATGATCACGACTGCGGGTTCTTCTTCTTCTTCTTCTTCTTCTTCCTCTTCTTCTTCTTCTTCGTATTCTGGGATGATTTTCTGTGGGGAACGAGAGGAAAGTGTAGAGAGAGAGATTTAAGGGAGGGTAGTCGTAATAGGAAGAGGTGTGCGGGGGAAAGGAAAAGATAGAAAGTTTAAGAAGGTATGATAAGATGATGATGATGATGGAGTGTAAAGACAGAGGCAGAGCTTGAAAGAAGATTGATTGGAATGTCTAGAATGCCCTGTCTCTCCATACCCATACCCAACCCATCTTTATACCCACACTCCCTCTCCCCCTTACTAACTCTGTCTCCCTTTAATCTCATCCCCTCTTCCTTACGCCCCCCTCCATCATCCGCATCTTCCTGCACCTCTTCCCTCTTCATCCACACCTCCTCTCCCTTCCCCTTCCCCCCCTCCCAGCCTTACCCGCATTTCCTTACCCTTGCCCACACCCCTTCCCTCCTTTACCCACACCACCCCCTACGCTTGCCACCCATACCCACTTAAAATATAATGTTTAAAGGAGAAAGAACGTTCGTCTGTATATAATTTTCCTTCTTGTGGTTACGTCACTCCCTTACCTACCCCAACTTCTATTCGCACTTTCTGCCCTCTCACTCTTGCCCTCTCCCATTACCCATATCTCCTTCCCTTTATCCACTCTCACCTTTTTTTTCTCTTACCCACACCCCTTTCCCTTTGCTCTCTACCCACACTCCCCTTCCCTTTCCATGCACCCCTTCACACTTACCCACTTCCCTTCTTTCTTACCTTTCCTTTACCGTCCCCTTGCTCCCCCCTCCCCCCCCCCCCTTCCATCATCTTCCCTACCCATAACCCCTCCTCCCTCACCCCCCCACCCCCCACCCCATCACCCGTGCCTCCCACAGACACTTAAAATATAATGTTTAAAGGGGAGAAAACAAACTTTCTTTCTGATGTGACTTTCATGTTTGTGGTGAAATGAATTTAAAAATTTGCGATGAAAAGGAGATTCTTAATGAATACTATTAACTCATGTTTGTATTTTGCGAAGTAATAGAAAATACATATGTGTATCTATATGCATGTATTCATATCTATATATATCTGTCTATCTATCTACTATCTATTGATCTGTCCATTTATCTATCTCTCTATCCATCTATCTATCTATATAAATACACATGTATACACACATCTATATCTATATCTATATCTATATCTATATCTATATCTATATCTATATCAAATCTATATCTATATCTATATCTATATCTATATCTATATCTATATCTATATCTATATCTATATCTATATTCATATCAATCTATATATCTCTATCTATATCTATATCTATATCTATATCTATATCTATATCCATATCAATCTATATATCTATATATCTATCTACCTATCTATCTATAAATAAATAGACAGAAAGATATATGTAAATAGATAAATAGATAGATAAATCGATAAATAGAGAAATAGATAGACAGAGAGAGGGGAGAGTGTGACTGAAAGAAACTAAATAGAAAGAACTCGTGGAGAATATGCAACGCTTCCGCGCCTTAGAAGAGAATATGTTGATGGAATAAAAATCCTGTTTGGAGACATGACCGACGCAGGAAACCCGAGAAAATTGTTGCTGACCTTTTCACGCGGACCTGAGGCCCTTGGCTTGGAAGATGGACGTGTGGACACACGCGTATAAATACATATATAATGTATATACGTGTACACACACACACACACACACACACACACACACACACACACACACACACACACACACACACACACACACACACACACACACACACAGACATATATATATATATATATATATATATATATATATATATATATATATATATATATATATATATATATATATATATATATATATGTATGTATACACACACACATATATATACACACATAACCTGGTAAATAAACCACAAATATATGAATAAGTCAGACAAGAAATGGCATCAGTTACATTATCTTAAAA